CTTCTTGAATTCAAGCCTTTTTTGAGAAAACTGCCAACATTTCCCCATCCGTGGTTCACTTTCTAAAAAGGCCATTTATTTATCTCTAGAATGATGTATAAATGAGCGTTCTTGCTCATTTTGCCTCCGAGATATGAGCAAAAACGGGACGGAAAACATGGAATTTTGGCATAWWTTTGCACCTAAGTGTCTGTTACGACTGAATCGACTTTTCAATTCTCTATCCAACAATTATCTAGATAACCCCCCCCCCCTGACTTTAAAGCTGGATCCGCCCCTGGTCAAGAGCCCGAAGAAGTCGAGTACAAAAAAAGTTGCAAACTGAAGATCACACATTTCCAAATTATTACTAAGGATTTAAGACATATAATTGATCCAACACATAATTAATGATTACAAAAATTTGAAAATATGTGAGATTCTGCTGCAATCATCAAATGTGCCTCAACCAGCTATTGCTCATAATGGTCTCCACTTGGAGTCAACAGTTATCTACTTTATCATTCTGATCGAAACTTTAATTGATTATATCTCTGAACCCATCAAAACTACAACCAAAGTTGCACCTTGCCGACGATAATCCTGAGTTTGTATGAGATATTAAGGGAAAACCAGCGAGAAATACCTGTCCAAGAATAGCCTTACTAGTCACAGGCGTTTATCATGATAAATAGTCTCTAACAGAGACTCTGGATAACAGTCTCCGGATTGCCATACTAAAACAAATTTTTGTTTATATTGGTGACCATCCCAGTACATTTTCGCAGTGTCGTCTTTAATCGTATCGATATATTTAATATAAAATAGATATTAAAACATATAACGTTTACGTAGCGTGTAGGTACTTAATGAACGTGATTTTGGTACGTTTGGAAAGACTATTCTGGGAAATGAGACTCCGCAAAGAACCCACGGCTCTTGCCTGATATAATGAAAGCTATTGCGTCATCAGACCTCAGAACGCCAGGGATCAACTCCGAAGCATATCATTGAATACGTAAGTTTCCATAAAGGCTGTTGCTTTCGCAATCTGTGCGTCATTTTTCTTGGTCCTTATGGTGAAACAAGCCAAAAAACGGTCGGTCTTTTTACCCCAGCCCAATTTAACATTGCAAGTGAAGAAAGATCTGGATCATGGAATACAATCCGGCTTGACCAGACAAAGAGGTGGAAAATACTCGCTGGTATTGGATAGGAAGGATTATGCGATTTACAAGCGATTTAAACCGTTTACAGATACAAATAGTCGTTCTAAATAAGAAAAATTAATTGTATTTTGAAAGAAGTTATTTATACCTACTAAAAGAATTGCCCTTAGATCTTCACGACTGTTTGGCTCCTTAGGTAAACTTGTAGGGGGATTGTCAAAGCCTCACAGATTATTATTTGGCCAGTTAAAAACTCGACGCCGAGTAAACATCGCTCATTGGTCAACAAAATTTTCCCTGGAAAAGTACCATCGTTGGTTTGTTGTTTTTGTAGAAAATCGGCAAAACGTACAAATTGCGACATCAAATTCTGTACAGGAGTAAAACGAAATAGATCTAGTAATTATTTTTTCATAATTCTCCAAACCGTAGGCTGCAGTACTTGGAGATTTTCAGTAACTCTCAACAAAACTTTCTCTTCTTGCTCAATAGAAACTCTTTTTAGGGTGGAGTTATCATATTTCAGACGTAAAGATCCTGTTTCTCCTAAGCGATTTCACACATTTCTAAACAGCATTTCGTTTGGTTCTTCGGCTTAATCCTTCATCTTCATTGACAAGTTTGGTTCTCTTTTTAGGTTGAATAGGTTGCCGTTCGCAAAATCCTTTTTCTACATTCTTAATTGTGTTTCGAGATGGAATATATTTTCTTTGTTTTGCTAGAATACGCAGAATATTGCATTGTTTGCATATCGCAATGTTTCTTTCGGCGGCATCGTTATCAGCCGGGTTTTAATTGTTTTCAAGTTGCTAAATGATCGTTCAAAAGTACGTTGCAAGTCGTGTAAAGTAAAGTTACCAAAATTCTATTTTTGATTGATGGCAGCGTCTTGCATTCTGCGACATATACCCACATGCGGATATAAAATAAAATAAAGATTCAAAATTCCTAAAAATGAACATTATTTTCGTTTGAATCCTGTATAAACCTCGACTGAATAGCGTAGTTCTGGTACCTACAAACTGCAAACAGGCCACTTATATTCTGGCACAGTGAGCGTATTTCCAGCTGATGATTCCAGACCAGCGATTGTTGACTGTTGCTTTTAGGTAAAGGAGCCAATAATTAATAATAGTTATCCTGCCGACTCTCAAACGCATCTGATAGACCATAAACATTTCTTAAAACACGATAACGATGATGTCACCAGATAAACAAATAGAACTTAACTTAAACAATAATGTTCCATGAATGAGAATGAGGCGGTTCATCAAATTGAACCTCATCAAGTTCATATCTCAAATCTGCTCTTTGTCGCAGAACGTTGTAAATAATGAAACATGCGATATGGGCAAAGTCCTTCAACTCCAATCAACAAGTTAAACGTTATTGTCTTTGGACAGTATGGCGGATTAAAGAGGAATAAGTGAGTCAAAAACTATAAACACTTCCTTTATAATGTTAAAAAATATATATTTAAGAATTATGGAACAATGAAATAAAAAGCAAACATGCAATATTTAGTGGTCATGCTGATAAATGATTATTTTCTGAAGCATTGACGTTCGTCGTGTACTTAGATTAAAAATTAACACAAGGTTTAACAAGCGGCTATCACAGCTAAATTTAGAGTGTGTTGACCAAACATCGGTTACATAGACGAACTATTCTAGGAAACAGCGAAATTCGCGAAAATCGCCCACTATGTTCCATCTCAATCTGTATTTACTTGTCAGCGGTGGCGCCTAACAATAATCTTATGATATATAATGTTTATTGATTGCCCAGAACTGCATATTTGTTTGATTCCATTGTTCCAAACGGCTGGATAGCCGAAATGTCCTGATTGTGTTTGCAAAAGTAAATAAATGTGGATGCTGTCCTACATTTTAGCATACCTCCACCTACGCTACTGAATCTTTTGCATTTGCACAATCTAAAAGCGTCCCTTCACTTTTATTGGTGCCATCATTAACGCATTCTTTTATCTCATTGGTGTGCAATTTATTATTCAGTCTTAACATGAAAGATGGCGCGCTATTCTATACTGTAGCCTGGAATATTATGATAATAAGACTGAAGACTGAGAGTACTGAAAGGCTCAGAAGCACAGCATAGATATGATATGAAAGGTGCGCTAGAAACTTCTCGAGATAAAACATTACTCCAGCAAATATGTGTGTAACAAGTTTCGATAAAATTTGTTTAGAAAACTCTTTGAGAGATCACGATCTTTAGCCGACGATTTTTTTCCTTATTATTGAGCCAATCGATTGATCTCAAAAAACCCGTATGTAAAATTTTTGGTCGATATTTTTGGAAGTCAATTTTTTGAAAAAATGAAAACTTTCTCGTGAGAAAGTTTTCATTTGCAGCTGAGGAAAACTTGAAAATTTGCCAAAAATTTCCTGAAGATGCTGCAAATTCGAAACTTTTTCGTCGTGTTGAGAACTTATTTTCTCAATCATTAAAGTATCACAAAAAACCGTATGTTTATTGGTTAAAGAGAAATTAATTTATAAACTTATGTGCCATGCAAACCCATACATTGCAACTGAGGAAAACTTGAAAATTTGCGAAAAAGTCCGTGAAGATGGCTTAAATTTGAAACTTCTTCTCCGTCTAGAGAATGTATTTCCTCTATCAATATAGTAACTCTAAAAACCGGATGTTTATTAGTTAAAGAGAAATTAATCTATGAAACTGAGTGCGATGCAAACCCATACATTGCAACTGAGGAAAACTTGAAAATTTGCCAAAAAATTCCTATAGTGCTGCAAATTCGCAATTGCATTGAGAACGTATTTGCTCATTCAATAAAGTATCACAAGTAACCGTATGTAGATTGGTGAAACAGAAATTGTTTGTAAAGTTGGGAGCGATGCAACCCTATAGATTGCAATTGAGGAAAAGTTGAAAATTTTCCAAAAATTTCCTGAAGATGTTAAAAAGTTGAAACTTTTTTTGCATCTAGAGAATGTATTTGCTCTATCAATAAAGTAACACTAAAAACCGAATGTTTATTAGTTAAAGAGAAATTAATTTATGAAAGTGTGTGCGATGCAAACCCATACATTGCAACTGACAAAAACTTGAAAATTTGCCAAAAAATTCCCTGAAAATGGCGAAAATTCGAAACTTTTTCTTCGTCTAGAGAATGTATTTGCACATTCAATAAGGTTACACAAGAAACCGTATGTTGATTGTTTAAAGAGAAATAAAATTACAAGAATTGGACATTTTGCAAAATGTCTTAAAGTTTACATGATTTTCAGCTCACGGACGCGATGATTTTTTAAACGAACTCATTAAAAAACATGGAAAGTTTCAGATCCGCAATAATAGACATTTTCGGTACATTTTAAGCGTTTTTTTAGCGTTCACGATCTTTATCCGATGAATTATTTCTTATTATTGACCCAAACACTTTATAAACGCATATTGTGATCTTCTTACGTCGAAAGGAATCGATTGAGCTAAAAAAACCCGCATGTGAAATTTTCATTTTTGGTCCAAACTTTTCCAAGRGTGGAGGTCRATTTTTTGAAAAAATKAAAATKTTCTCAAAATGTCTTAAATTTTACATCATTTTCAGCTYACGGACGCRAGGWATGCATCGAACTCATTAAAAAACGTGGTWKAAGTTTCAGATCCGAAATAATAGACAKTTTCGGCACATTTTAAGCGCTTTTTGAGCGTTCACGATCTTTAACCGACGATTTCTTCCTTATYATTGACYCAAACACTTTATAAATACATATTTATGACCTCCTTGCGTCGAAAGGAATSGATTGATCTAAAAAACCCGCAYGTRAAATTTMAMTTTTTGGTCGAMATTTTTTCAAGGRTGGGRRTCGATTTTTTGAAARAAATTAAAATTTTCTSAAAATGTTTTAAACTTGGTASAWSATGGTAGAAGTTTCAGMTCGAAATAATTATTTCGGAYSYGAATATATTCAGRGCCCAKTKCATTCSAAMTYRTTGCAAAWACAAATTTTCTRRTAGACAAKTTTCMGAGGTGCAGTTTTTATAAAAAATGTTCGTTTTTCCACAAATTTCAAAATTWTTTAATCGACCCGATATTAACAGTTACACWGAAWATTTCCACATGCAAAACGCTGTTTTTCCAAAAGAAAATCGACCTCAAATGCMCAAAGAAAACATTGATAATATTTGTCTTGAAAAATCGTCTTTTCGACCTTCAAACTCTTATAACGTTCAAGATTCTCAACTGATTTCAAGTTTGCAAAATACAATTTTTAGACCAAACCACTCGTATTAAGAGAGTTACAAATTTATTCATACTGAAGGATCTGATGCGCCATATAACTCAGMCATTAATCAGAGTTAAAATGTAAATTAATTTGCAATTACATTTGAGAAATGTTTTAAAATCGCTTTATGAAATGAAAAGAAAGAAAAGTTACTGAAAGTATTTACATTTTTATATCAATCATTATTTTGAAAGCAAGTGTTTTTTTCAACAATTTTTATACACCCATTAAGATCAAACCCTCTAAAGAACCAAAACACCTTTTGCTTTAGTGCCTCATAAATAGCAACTGCTTCTGAAAACAATGTTATCTAAAGTCGTTCTTTTTTAATATGAAAGAGGTAGTATCTATCTAATGCATTAATTATATATATTATCGATGTGTCATATCAGTCATAAAACATTTATAGCATCAGAGAAGTATCTTAGGTCTTAGGTATAGTTTAAAAAATATTGCTCATTCTTAACACCCTAAGCATTTATATCTGGGTTTATTGGTGCAATTTTGGTACAGCGACACAATTTAAAGATATATTAATGTCTCTTAATAATCCTTCAGGATTTGTTCTTAATTGCGGTATATAAGCCAGATTGTTATTTGATATTGGTCAGTATTAGCAAGCAATGGATTTACGTTTAGTTTTTGTAAGCTTGGTTTTGAGCAGTGTAAATTGTCGAAGTACTGTAAGTAAAAATTCAGGAAATGAATAAGATTTGTTTAGTAAAAACATGCTACTTGATGGAGGTGCAAATCCAAAGGTGTCAGATCGGGTGATCTAAGGGGCCACATACTTAAACCAAACTAATCCAAACATCCCTTGAGTGAAACTGACTTATCCGTGCATAGAAAAACGTAAAACTTGGGTTGATCAACAAACTGATGAAGCAGCTACTGACAAAATTGACTCCTTGGTTGATAATGGGCTGCAATCAAACCTCCTACTGCTTCGACGGACAAACGAAAGCTTCTTTAGGCTTTGGTTCTTATCAATTATTGCACTGTAAACTCTACCTAGAAGTTTGACTCCATAGTTCTGAATCACCTTGTTCAAGATTAAGCTTTCCATAATTATATATAACTAAATTTTTTTTTTCACTTTGCTTCTTTTATCTGTCGATCCATTCAACTTTCATCATGTTTAGCGTCCGGCAAACTTGGAGAATGTTGTTCCTGGTCACTTGGAGTCATGGAATCCCGAACTTTTTGAAAAAATATTTCCTAACGTCGATCTCCAGCTAGATAATCGAATAGTAGGTGGAATTGAAGCTACTCCACACTCTAGACCTTATCAGGTAAGCAGGCGCTAAGGGTGACCAATGAGAAAACAAAAGGAAACATAGATCTAAAGAAAAACAATTAATTTACTTACCTTTGAAAATATAAAAAAAGTCATGTAGGTTTTCCCTAGAGAATAAGGGAATTTCAAAGGAGTTCAATAAAACATTTCATATTCCTTTCACGAACTTGATTAATTGAAAATTTTAATAAACAACGCTCTTATATATTTTGCCGTTTACGCAGACAATTATGACTATTTATAAAATGTTTTAGAAACACTGTTCAACATTTTTGTTGCTATTATGGACACATTTTATTTAGAAGAAAATATTAACGGCTTGGTTTAGAAAAGCTGTAAGAAAATATTCGTTTTAATTCAAGATTAGATAAAAATTCTCAAATAGCTCAGAATTTTTAAAAAATTTAGCTTACTTTCTGGTTAACTCTTAATGTTTGGCCTTTATTGAAGGGATTCCTCTTCAAATATGAGAAAATAGTGTATGCTATTATTAGCGTTATATTGTATAAATGAGTTAAAGGAAAACAACAAAAATACATATGTAATTCAATAAAACACAGTCAGATTTAGGATAGAAACAAGGCGGAACTTGTAAAATTTGAGGTCACATTTTAATATTATAGCGACTTTTTCAAAAATCTTGTGTCTAAACTGCCAATGGTTTCTTTAAGATTATGTCTACATTTAAATATAGAAAGTTGAAAAATATAAGAAAAGTTAAAGTTTTCTCTATTGTATATTATAGCTTTACTGCTGTTTTATATTTGAGTTAGGTTAGAGTAGATGTGTGTTGTCCCTTTTATCACATTTATTAGTTCAAAGACTCTTAGATATCAAACTTATCCCCATAAGTTCCCGTTGGCTCCGCGCACAAGAATGTTTTTTACAAACTTCTTTTTGGGTATTTCGCCTCAAAAATTTTTGTCTTTAAAAAAGACAGAATTTCCTCACGTCTTTTATTACAGATTGATA